TTCAGGGGAGCCTGAGTCAGTTCCATGCTGGCTTCCCAGCTGTCAGTCTGGTGGCCCGTTAGCTCCTCCTTGTTCAGGTCAGCTGTCTCTATGTGTTTCTACCACCTGGTCTTGTCCTCTCCATCTGCATCTGGGGTCTACTTTGACTCAGTGTTTATGTATGCCAACCCTCTTTCTTTATTTCCTTCTTTTCATACTTCCTTCAAAATTAGTTCCCCCTCCTGCCTCTCTCCTTCTGTTATAGTCCTTCTTTGTTCACTAGGCAGTTTCAATTGGGCTTCTGAATCTTAAAAACAAAACAAAACAAAACAAAAAGCTTTGTCTTTGAACTCATGAGCTCACTGTGCGTTTACATGCACTGTCAGAAGTAACAGGAGAGTCCCTGCCTCTTTGCTGAATTCCCCAGGTCCTGACATGGCTCAGATTTAATATTTTACCAGATTCCCCCAGTTTCCCTTCTACCTGTATGTGTTTCTGTATATGGATATTTAGTTTTGGGGAGTCATCACTGTATAAGTTCATGTACCAGCCTCAGGTCAGAGGCATAGTGAGCCCACCCATCACTGCAGGGTCCCTGGTGTGGTCCTTTTATACCTATCCATATGTCCGACCCACTTTCCTCCATGTCCCTAGCCTGAAGACTCCTGATCTGTTCTGATCTGTACTAACCAATTGCACCACTGGAGCGTTGTTCTGCACTATTTTACTTCTAAATTGTTAAAGAGATGGGATAATGTAGTATGTAAACACTAGTGATTGACTTGTCTTAATTTAACACAATTCCCTAACATTTTATGTGTGGTAATTTACTCATTTTATTACTAATACTCCCTGGTAACATATGGGTCATAGTCTTCTGTTGGTTCTGTTTGTTTGCTCCTTTTAAATGCTATTGATGGGATTGAGTGCCATCTAAATTACTCCTTGTGCTTGGCTGTTGTGCTTTGTTTGTTTTTTCTTGCATTCTTGTAGATTACTTAACATTTTAAAAACATTGATCTTAGGGTTCTATTCTTGGAGAAGAATCTATTGTGTTTTCTGGGTGTACCTTTTTGTACAGTTTCTCAGTGGTGGTTATGTGAGTTATAACTCACATCTAGGCCAGACTGCATTGGTGTTGACATTGTACCACTATGAATCTTGTCTGGAACTAATTTTGCTTAGGACATCTTCCCCTCCAATAATTAGTACCTGCTTTATGGCTGCAAGAGTGTGCGTAGAATTGGAACATGCTACTACTTTACTTGGCTTAATGGGTACCACAGCCTAGCAATGCCTCCACATATTGGCTGTTCATCCTCACAGTCACATATTGCTGTCCTGGGGAAAGGTCGAAGTTTAGTTTCAAGTACAGTTGCCATGGAACAGATAGATGTTTTCATTGTAGATGTTTTCATTATCATTAAATTAAAAAGTCATACCCCTCCACCACAGGTACAGGTCCTTATTGGATCACGGGCAACCTACTAGTGTCCATGACCCCAGAGAAGAATGACTGTTTCTCCTCTAGACATCACCAACTGCCAGTGCTTCCTAAGCCAGGGGTGGGGTCTTCTTGGCCTGTCACTCACCCTTGTTAGAGTTTTTGGCAGACTTGACATTGTGCAGATCTTATGCAGACACTATCTTTGCTAAGCTGACTGCTGTTGTGTTCAGCAGCGCTGTAATGTACAGTAGAGAGCGCAGCATAGCACCGGTCCCCATCCTCCAGCTCCCTCATGATTTCTACTCCCTCTCCTGTGACGTTTCCTGTGCCTTGGGTGAGGGCTGGATGTTGATGTGGTTCCATTCAGGGGTTAGCTCCCAGACACTCTCAGCACTTTTACCAGATGTGACTCTACAGTAACTGCTCTAAGTAGCTTTGCTGATCAAGGCTGTGTACCATAAATCTCTGTGTATAAACACAAGCATTTAGAAGTCAGTTTTCAGGGCTGGAGAGATGTCTCAGTGGTTAATAGCCCTTGCTGCTCTTCCAGAGGACCTGAGTTCAATTCCCAGAAACCATATTGTGGCTCACAGCCATGTGTAAGGAAGTCAATTTCGTAGCACAGATGTTTAGCAAAACAACAATAGCAGGTTCCCCATTAGCACCTATCATCTTCATGTCCATGGACTTTGGACCGGATTTACCATAACTGACCTGAATTCCCTCCTGTGAGGTGGGCCTCAAATCTGATCTGAAAGCATTTGGTTAACCCCACAATAGTAGCGCTAGTATTCCAGCAGTGGGCACATTTTTGCCCAGCAGGTTGGGATCACAAAACACACACTCTATCTAGCAATGGGTGTGTTGGTGTATATGATCCCCCAGCAGCCTGGCCAGCAACTTCTGACACAGAAACCTAACAGCAGGAATGATGCTTCCTGTTAGAGACTGATTTCTCTATGTCCTGCAACCAAACTCACGTTTGAGCCAGGGTCTCACAGCACCATTAGGTTAATCTGGCTGATCAACATGCCCCAGGGATCCTTGGGTCTCTGCCCACAAGTGCTAGAATTGCAGGTGTGTGTCCCCATACCCAGCTGTTGACATGGGTTCTGGGAAATCAAAACTCAGGTCCTTATGCTTATGAGGCAAGGATTTTTCCAACTGAGCATTTTTTTCTGGTTCCTATTTTATTATTATTATTGTGTGTATATTTTTTAACTCATGACATTTAAAGATCATACTCTTGGTGATAGGGAGCCTCATTAGATTGGTAGGTTTTAGACCATTCCTACCAATGCAACTAACATGTGGTTTGTGGATGAGGATTTCCTATAGCTTCTTGGTAATTTTTCATTTTGTTTCTAACATATGTCTTATCAGAGCTTAAAAACAAACATCATACATCAGTATGTACTATATAAGGAATTTTTTTCATTTGATAGTGTTGCTCATGTCATTGTAGAGGAATTAATCCTGAATTTTAAGATGATTTTATATTTACTGATAAATTATTAGTTTCAGTTGTTGATTTGACACAACCCAGAGCCACCCAGGGAGAGGCAACCTCAACTGAGGAATTGCCTAGATCAGACTGGTCTGTGGCCTTGTCTGTGGAACATTTTCTTAATTTCTGATTGATATAAGAGGACCCAGCCCCTTGTGGATGGTGCCATTCCTACACAGGTGGACCTGAACTCTATAAGAAAGGTAACTGAGCAAGCTAAAGAAAGCAAGCCAGGAAGTATTCTTCTGTGGTCTCTACTTCAGTTTCTGCCCACTCTTCCCTCAAAGATGAATAGTAACCTATAAGACAAACCTCTTCCCCCTGAAGTAGCTTTTGGTCATGGCATTAACCACAGCAATAGGAAGCAAACTGAGATTCAGTACTTACTGGTGCATTAAATGACTTAGATGAATCTCAATAATTCAGCAAATATTAAAAGACTGAAAATTGGGCTTCCCAGAGATTTGCACATTGTATTATTTATGAGGAGGAACCTCTCATTCTTGATTCTGTAAGTCTTTTATGTTTTACATTTATCTTGGCTAATCTCTTTATTCTTCTTTCCTTAGATATTCTGTTTTATGTTCTTTACTTATGCATTTTAAAAGTATTTATTTTTTGAAATTGTAATAGATCATTGCCCTCTTCTGTTTCCTCTCTCCAAATCCTCTCTTCTACTGACATACTCCACCTTGATTTCCTTCAAATTAGAAAAGTTTATAGTGCACTGTAAAGACCAGTGAGCTGGAGAGGAGCAAGAATAACACCTGATTTTCTTATTATTTTATTATTATGTTAAATGTATGACTTTTACTTTTCAGTTTAATAACAAATGCATTTGGATATGAACTTTGGCTATATCCAACACATTTTGATAACTAACAGTATTCCAATTTTCTATGAAGTAATTTATGCAATACATTCTTAAAACTTAAAAAATATGATTAATGATAATGTTCTAAATTTAAAAATATTTGCATGAACTTTTGATAAAAATTAGTGATACATACCTAAGTAATTTGTTCTTTGAAATGGATTTGTAGTAAATTTTTGGGGTTTTGAAGGTCAGGAGGTGCATATGAAGATAAGATGTTTTGATTTTATTGAATCTGATATTACTGTCTATCTATATGTATATGTATTCACATACTCATATGAATTTACATGTGTCTTCTGGTATTCTCTGTATCAGAGCTAAGAGCTTTTGTAATCCACTGAATTATTTGCATTTATAATGTATTCATCCTCTTCAATGCCTGTGTGATTTTTTTTAACAGCATGCTGAGCATTTGGTATGCACTCTGTCTGCTGCTAAAGCAACAATATATTAATTAACTTAGTGCTTACAACACTCTCTGTCCGTACTTTTCCTGAATACTGAAATTAAGTATTTGAGGCTTCCTCTGTTAGCTGTAGTGAATGTTCTGTATTTCCCAAGACAGGTTTCTGGCAACCCTTGGGAGAAATGACAAGACTCCCAAATTCTCCTTCCATCTTGCTTTTTTGATATTATGGAAGACCATTTTCAGTATTAGACATAATTGTTGCAACTGTCATGATTTTGGATACAACTTTACATTCATTTAAGTTATTTCCCTAGACAGATTCTTTTATCTTGAGAGGGAAAAGGTATGAACACTTTTATGGGTTTGTGACTGTGCATAATTTTACAACATCAAATTATTTTTTGAAAAAATTGTGTATGAATGTACTCTGCCAGCAGCAGTAAAAGAATAACATTTAATCTTTACTAGTTTTGGAAAACAAACCTGCAGCTATTAGTTGAGGACATATTTCAGAGAAGGCAGACATGTGTGCAAATGTATTTTGCTTAGTCAGTAAGTATGAGACATTTGCTCTGTACACCAGTGAACCTAACCCTGGGATTACAGAAGTGAGTGAGGACACAGGTCTGAGAACCAGAGCTCTATAGAGGGCATTCAATACTTTCATGCAAATCTCTGAACCTGTGATGATCATAGGATGTTTGCTGCCTTGTTCTAGCTGATAGAGGACTGAAGAACAATACAACAATTAAGACATATCTTCATGTGCTTCACATTGCAGGCTAATTATACTTTTTACTTTGTGGATAAGATAAAAACTTTATCGGAAACACTTCTGAAGATGTCCAGCCTTTTCCAGGGAAGTGGAAATGGCCAAATGTTCAACCAGTTGCAGGTATGTAGTGACCAAAGGCTGGGAACCACTTGCTGTAACCTGGCTGAGACAGTAGGGTGTCCTTACAAAAAATTCAACTAGTTTAATGCATGCATGGTTACCCCAGTTGATTGTCAACATGGCATATGTTTAAAGAATCTTTATGAATTTTTAGTGTTTCCCCCATGCAAATTAGCACTATATAAAATTAATAACTTGATAAATATAGATATTTTAAATTTTTTATTAAATTTAATGCTTTTAAAATAGTTTACATTCTTTTCATTTAAAAGTTTATTATCCTATCACTTCTCATTACTATATGGGTCACCCAAAACAGAAATACAAAATAAAACAGAAATATTTAGATAAAAACAGAAGGGACTAGCTAGGAAGGAGGTGTTCAACAGGAGTGGGAGGTGAATGAGAGGGTAATAGGGCATTGATATAATAAAATTTATTATGTGTATATAGGGAGATGTCATGATGAAACCAATTATTATTTTTAATTACTATATGCAAATAAAAATAAAAAGACTCTATTATTGACCAATTATGGTTTAAACTAGAGTCATTTCTTCAGAGTCCAAGAACCATTACTTGTAAAACAATAGGTCAGGCAGATCACCTAATAACTTTTTAGGCATTTGTGAAATCATAACTTGAAAATCTGGCAAGATGAGAGAATTTGCCCACATTTTATTCATGGGTAGCCTACATATTACCCACTGGTCAAACAGTTCACATCATGGGTTCGGGAGCCACAATGGGTAGGTATGATCCTACTCTCCCATGTTTTACGTCAGTCATGTGATTGTGACCTAGTCACTGAACAGACCCGTCCTTTGTGCATTTTCCTTGTGAACAAGGAAATGATAGTGTCTTTAAGTGCAAGTGAGCTGAACTGGGATGTTGGCCATGCATGGATGAAAAGTATAGTTCAAGTTTCTCTGAGTGTAGGAAGTCCCTCCCCCTTTTTTCTTATTTGGGTATGTAGGTGCATGTGTATACTCTCTCTACCATGTGGGTTCATGGAATTGAGCTTAGGCCATCAGGCATGGTAGCAAGAGCCTTTAACTCCTGAGCCTTCTCCCCCTCCCAGAACTAGCAAATTTTAATAACTCCCTTGGGTATATGGCTGTTGGTAGGTTGCTCATGCCCCAGTGGGTGACCACTTACCCACACTGGACTCAGGGAATTAATTCTAACAAAATAATATAGAAGGATATGGAATATAGAAGGATATTAGGGGAGTTGGATGAAGATGATGGTGGATGGATATGATTAGTAGACATTGTATACATGTATGAAACTTTCACAGCACAAGAAATATTAGTTTGGTCGGGCATGGGAGGAAGAGGGAACTGGGATCAATATGTAAAATAAAAAATAAATAAAACACATTCATACACATATAATAAAATAAACCAACCAAACAAAAAGAGATATTAGTTTGAAAAGAAAGAACTTCATCACAAGACAAGAAACAGCTGCTAAAGCCAAAGAAGAGGACCAGAGACAAGGAATAGAGGCAAGAGCGCGTGATGGCAGTGCACTTCTGGCATGAAAGAAGGAGACATGTGAGGAGGCAAGGCTCCAGACTCCTGTCATTCCTGCAGCGTCACCAACACGGCACTAGTGCTGTAATCCCATCCTACTTTAATTTGTTTGTCCATGGCTTCCTTTGTTAACAAAGCTCCTATCAAGTGTTTTCGCAGTGGACCAGATAGAAGGTTAGGTTTTGTAAGGCCTCTGTTGTAGCTACAAATACCAGCATCCTGTCTTGGTACCGCCAAGGCCACAGTGGACAGGGTGTCACTAGAACATGAAGAGGAGCCTGATGCCCCAAGAACCCTGCAGTTAGTTCAGTATTATTCACCAAGAAGAAATGTCAGAAATCGAAGTCACGAACTCAGCCGTACTGAGCATTTTAGCTTACTCAGGTTGTGTATTCATAGGTTGCTATTCTCAGGCTTGGGATTTTGCTGGTGGAAAGTTGTTTGTAGTGAAGTCCAAGCCTAATTCTGCCACTAGGTGGAATCCTTACTGCTTTTGGGTGATGCCCCATCTGTTCTACAGTTTATTTTCCTTCCAGTAAAAGGCAGTGACATTTCCCCCTGGGGAATTCTGTGAGATTAAATGAACTAATGTGTAATAAAGTACCCTGCACACTGTCTGGCAAATAGCTAATGCCCAGTGAAGGAAGACAGACAAGATTTAAGAAAGAGCAAGTAACCAGACCTCATAATGCAGTCTTGTCTCCATAGACCTGACTAGATGAAATCACTAAAGGACAAGGCAGGGGTGAGTAGGGAAGGGGTTAAGTGCAGAATGTACAGATCACACGAGAAGACCTAACTTGTTGTGGTTTGAGACTAAAGCATAGATAACTATCACTATGCACCAATGAAAGCCCCTCCCCCACTTTTTTTTTCTTATTTAAGTGTGTATGTTCATGTATATTCTCTCTTCACCACGTGGGTTCATGGAATTGAGCTCAGGTCATTAGGCATGGGAGCAAGAGCCTTTAAGTCTTGAGCCATCTCCCCCTTCCAGAACTAGCAAAATTTTAACAACTCCCATGCCTTAATTATGGCATGAGGGCTCACTGCATCTGTAGTTTTCCCACTGGCTGTTGGGCATGGCAATGTGCCATGCTCATTGAAAATATCAAAATGCAGTATTGTATTAAATCAGATTGATTTTGGAGAGCTAGCCACAGCAAAACCATTGGCAGGTGAGGCAACGCTAAACCTATAAGGGAAGATCAAGGCACAAGCTGCTTTTGAAGGCATAGTTTTGCATATCAGCCCAAGAGAAGGTCTGGGAAAGGTTGAAGTCCCTCTGTGTAACTAACACCTCTCTGCAGACAATTGGCCAGTACAAATGTGATGGAGAGGATGAATCATGGGAAAGAAAGGATAACCCTGTGTCTTCATTAGGAAAATTTGCCCATAATTTTCAGTATTAAAGCAGCATTGCAATTATAATTTTTTTATAATCATTATCTTTGTTCAAAGTTCAAAATTATATTAAATGCTGACTTGCTATTTATTAAGATGTCTTGCCTATTTATATTATAATATATTATAGGGTTTTTATTGCTGTGATAAAATACTATGAGCAAGGGCAACTTGGGGAAGGAAGGGTTACTCACTTATAATTTCAAATCATAGTTCATCATGGAAGGAAGTCAAGGCAGGAACTCAAGGCAGGAGCCTGGAAACAGGAACTGAAGCAGAAGTTATGGAAGAACTCTGTTTACTGGCTTGCTCCTCATAGTTTTGCTCAGCCTGCTTTTTTATACAACCCAGGGCCACTAGCTCAGGGGTGGTACTTCAGACAGTGAGCTAGGACCTCTCACATCAGTCACTGGTCAAGAAAAGGCCACAAAGACTTGCCACAGGGCAACCTGATGTGGACATTTTCTCAACGGAGGCTCCCTCTTCTCAAATTACTCTAGCTTGTGTCAAGTTGACAAAACAATAAATAAAAATAAGAAATAACCAGAACATGTCTTAAAACTTCTTTTAGGTGGATCCATTTTATGTTTCTTTTTTGGGTGTCATAAAACTTCGCATAAGTTTAATAAGAAGATGTGATGCAAAATTATTTCTGTCACGTTTCCTTACTTTCCTTAGGATGTTCTGAGAAACAAATTCATAAGAAATTTTGTAGAGAGCCAGTTGAGTATTGACACGGACAAGCTCACTGAAGATCTCCACACATATGGTAATAGCGCTGATGGTTTGGGTGGGATACATCTGTCCTTGGCTGAAGTGCTTGGATCCTACCCCATTGGCCATATTGTTGCTGGCAACATTACCAAATTTACCTTTACTCTTCCTATTTCTGTTTCACTGTCTGTAACATGAAGGCTTGAAGAAGATGCACCATAAAATTTGTTCACACCTGAAGTTGTCTGGTTACAGCAGGAAGGCTAGAGGAAGGAAAGCATTTCATTAGGTATAACACTTAGACTTATTGAAAAGTAACTGGTGAATATGCTATTTGCAAAAGTGGTACGGGTAAGTTGAATATCTCTTACTTTTGGGACACAAACATTTCTGATTTGGGAAGCTTAAGAGAAACACATATACATAAGGACATCCCCTTCATACTTCTGCAAAGACCCCTTCTCCTACTTTTTAACCTTTGCCCAATAGAGCCATCATATTTTGAATCCATCAAAAATTCATCTCTCTCTCTCTACATATATATATATATATATATATACATATATATGTATATATATAGACTTATTTATACACTTATAAATGCACACATATGTATATATAAAATTGAGTTTGCTATTGTCAAATACTTAATTTTGTGTATGAACTGGACTCTTTTGAGATATCTTTTTTAATGACACACATTCACTTTTATGTTCATTTGTGGGAGACCCACTGTATAAATAGCAAGCACTAAAGAAAGAACTTGATTTGTTCTAATTTGTTTGCTGTTGCCAGGACGGACGCTGGACAAGATGTTTAATCATGTGGGGGCTGGACGCTTCCAGTTCTTGGGTGGTATCTTGGCTAATCTCTCTTCCTGTGTGGTGTTGGACCGATTCCAGGCAGTGGAGGCTGTTGACACCCTGGAGATCAAGGCACATGAACTCATGCAGCAGAATAGTTTCTTGGCCAGTAAGTACTTGGCAGAAAATGTGCTCACCAAGGCACAAGCTCCAATACGTGGTCATTTTGTCTCATCTCCCTAAGCACATCTTAAATTGGTTCAGGGAGATGTCTTTCCTAGATAAACTATAAAATGGAGCTGGGGTATATGAACTGAGATAGTGGAAAGATGTTCCTTATGCTGCAAGGACAGGCAACTGCTCAAAGTCCCTAGGGCATCACTGCCTGCTAGGTCTGCCTTTACTGTTTTGCCTTCATTTTATGGTGAAACCTCACATGAGGAGCAGTGTACTCAAACTCCCTCTATCACTTTTATTTTTATCACTCTATCTTGATGCTCCTAAGTAGGAAAGAAAAATGGAAATGGCCAGTTGGATTCTATTATCAGTTGTACATTTATGCAGCATAAGTGAGATGTTTTTTTTGAGAAAACACTGGATTATTACTTAAGCCAGGACCTTGTGCAAGCTCAGTACATATGCTACTGTTAGAACACATATCCAGCTCCACAGAGTTCATTGAGGTTTAAGGTAAGTTTGCTAGGGATACAGGGATGCTGTAACAAAATACTACCAGGTTCTGTGCGGACGGGGGACCCAACCAAAACTTGTTACATTATAGTTCTGAAGGCTAGAAGTCTAAAATCAAGGTGCCAATTTGTTTCCTTTGATGGCTTTTAGGAAAGGGTCTTCTGTGGGCATGTATTGGCTATCGAGCACATGTGTCCCTTTGAAATATTTTTATATAGTCTATTCATGTATTTGCCAAAAAAGTAGCCCTCTTCATTAGGCTACTATTGTGGTGAATTAAGACCTACTCTGCAAGCATCGTTTTTACATGGCAACCCCTTTCAAGGTGCCATCTTCATGGGTGGGGAGATGGATGGCTCAATGGATAAGAGATTATTTTGTTGTGCAGATTGAGGTTCAAGTCCACAGCATCCATGCTAAAAATAAAAAACAAAACAGCTGTGACTATATACATAAGACTGAATGCCATTGCTGTGTCTGCAGGGACAGAATCACTGGGGCTTTGTGGCTGCCAGCAGAGCTTCAGGCTCAATGAGAGAACCCCTCAGGGGAATAGGAGGGTGATGGTGGAAAAAGACACCGGATGTTTTCCTTTGGCATCCACATGCATGCACACGCACTCACATACATGAGTATTAACTACACACACTCACACAGACACGTGCATTAAACCCCCCATGAACACACAATGCTCTCTCCCAAGATGATCACATTCTGACCTCTAGGAGTTTGCATTTTGAGGGAACACAATTCCTCTTATAATAATCTTTCTGCATTAAATACAGAGAATTTATGTAGTAGAGAAGAGCATCTTATGTTTAAGCTACAAGTCATAGGTACTTAAAGATAGTGATTCTGTGCAGCCAGCTGGACTTGTGGCCCCAGGGAGAGAATGCTTGGTTATCTGATCAGCTTTGAGTAATTTTTTAAGTCTATTCTAAATGTGAAATGAATAAAGTCTTTTATTTGTGATGCAACAATATTGTCTTTTTTAAAATTGGAAAGGTACCTTGGACTGTGAATTACATGGTCTTGCTTCAGTTGCCTATAGAACAGAGTATCCTGTTTGATTGCATCCTGGGGTTGCATTCACTGACTGCAGGAGTGGGAGGCTGTGTAGAATTCCAGGTTCTCCTCATTATCCTGCCCATCCTATGTGTCGCGTATATGAGTTGTATGACACTTTTTTTCTTTCATGCTACCAGGTATCATATTCAACAGTTCCTTGGGACACAGACATATCAGATCAGCACATGGCAAATTGCCACCCCATGTTACATACACAATCCGAACCAACATCTTATACAGCATGAGAACAGACATGATAAAAAATCCTTCCTGGAAGTTTCATCCTCAGAGTCTACCAGCTGATGGGTTCAAATACAACTACATCTTTGTCCCATTGCAAGACATAATTGAGAGAGCCATCATCGCAGTACAGACAGGGCAGGAAGCCTTGGAGCCAACTACACAGGCACAGGCATCTCCCTACCCATGCCACACCAGTGACTTGTGAGTAACGATGGTCAGCCAACTTTTTCCTTCAGTGTCTACCTACCAGGAGTGGAATTTAGCACTTAGAAAACAGAATAAAGAGAAAATCATCTTTGAGTTTCTCTACTGCTGTTTCAAAGTACAATTTTAAAAATATCCATTCATGGGATTCTTCTTTTTAAATATACTTGAATTATTTAGGCAGAATACATTGTTGAGCTACGGTCTACCCTCTGTTTTAACTGATTCTACCCACAGAATGAAAATCTTTGAATAGAAAATTCCAGAAAGTTCCCCAAGCAAAACATGAATTAATTTTGTGCCCTGAGCTATACTAATCCTTGTGAGTGGAGGGTTATGTAAGCATTGCATTAGGTACAACAAGTAATGTAGGGATGAAGTAAGTGTGTGTATGTGTGTGTGCATGCTTCCTATTTTATATATTCGTTGATTCATGTATCTGGAGATAATTCCTGGAAATAAAGCCCTCTAGAAACTTAGAGACCTTTTAATATAATTAATTATAGTTTTTAACGAGATTTTTTGATGTCTATAGCTTTCAATGAAGTTACAATAAACTTGATGAACACTAGTCAGGAGGCCTGTGCATGTCTGTCTCCAAGCTCTACTGTTTTATTCCTGGGGAAGGAAAGGAAGGTGATTCTTTGGCTGGAATCCTTGAAAAATGGGCTGGGTGTTTTGTATTATTTAGGGTAGTGGAGTCACACGATGCCCTCTGTCTTGGGTATACCGTTAGCAATCTGGGAATGTGTGGAAGGTAAGTTGTGTAATTTGGCAATAGCAGGAAGTACTGTTTAAGGCTGAATCAGCTGGCTAGGCGACTTGGAGAAGCTGGGTGGTATTAGCTAAGCCAGGCAGAGCGTACTTAGCAGATAGAGCACCGGCTGCAGTTTGTGGAGGCATAGTAAGCTCAAACATTCACTGAGTATAGTCAGACCACAAAGTGTGCCAAAGAGGTGGAGTGACACCGCTGCAGGGTGCAGGGACAGTGGTGCTTCCTTCCTTCCCTGTGGTGGAGGCTGGTCTCACAAGCACCTGCTGCCACATCTGACACTGGGTAGGTGTGGGTGGTTTGCTTTCCCTGTCCACTGCATCCGCTGGGACTCTTTGAGGCTCCCTTGAAAGCACAGAAGGAATTGACTGGTCATTAAAGGGATAATTGCTTGGGAGGCTAGTTCTGAGGACAGACCAGATACTTGGCGCAGTGTCGTTGAAAGTCAGACCTTGTCTCCAGCTGATTAGTGGCTTCTCTGTGAGAACAAGACACTTGGTTTTTTGTCTCCTCCTTTCTACATAGCCATATGCCTCATCTATTATAACTTATGATTACATTGTTGATGATGGTAGTATTATGATGTGCATGCCTTATGGTGGTAGGACGATGCTGGATAGGGCCAGAAGGCAGCTTGATTAAGTGTATCTTGGGGCATCTTAGTGTGGAAGGGAGACCAAAGGTCAAGGACACAGAGACTAAGGGATTAGTGTATTAGGGAAATGGTCTGTAAGACAGGAAAATTTCTTTTGGCTTTTGTTTATTTGTTTTAAATGGAAGCTTTTCTATCCTTTCAAAGCAATGTTAGTTTTTACTTTGAACATTTTCACATTACAAAATGCTTCTAAAGTATTTTTTTTTGTTAGAAGCAAGAGCTGAAACCAAGAATATTGCTGTCATTGACTACATGTCATACAAAGATGCTCCGTTTAAATTTCATGCTAATAATGTAGGAAATAAGGTGAATGTCAAAAAAACCCCATACAACAGTCTCTTCCGATTTCCAGAATATGTTATGAACATCATGTACACAATCTGGGGCTGTGTGAATGTGGGTGGTAGAACATATAGTCCCTCCAGCCTGGCTACAGGATAAGCCACAGGGTGACACTGTCCACCTTGACCTTCGTATTCCCTGAGAAGAATAATGGACACACTATGAAATATGTCCATGGAAAGCTAGATGTAGCCCCAGTTTCTACTTAGCACTGTGAGAAAGACTGGGGAGGAAGTACTGAGCGAGCATGGTGAAGGTGTGTCCTCTCTACCCACTGGAGAAGAGTTCTTGTGAATGAGAATCATGGCTGCTGCAGAGCTGGAGTTAGTGCATGATTGAGTGTGGCTCTGATGCCAGGAAGTCGCTTCTCTCCACCTGCTCTCTTTGTGGTTCCTCAGAACTATTCATTTCACTTGCTTGATGCAGCTAAGAAGTTATTTTCCCTATTTGAAAGACTGAAATCCTGGAGACCTCTCTTCGTGGTATATCCTCCCTTTATATTTAGTTCCAAGATACTTGTTGTTGGAGGCTCAGTGTGCCTGTGGTGACTGAGGCAGTCTGAGATCTTTTAAGAACTCAGTCACCCGAGTAAAAGTCCTAAAGCACATTTGTTCAATAATTTCCAGTAGTTCCCTGCTGCTCGCTGAACAAGTTACATATTCATTAATTTGTTAATGTATTCAGTGACATTTATGTGCTATTTGTCACTTTCCAAGTTTGGGGTGAGTTAGGGAGATGAACAGGTGAAAAACTCCCTATTCTGGGGGCACCAGTAGTTCAGGGAACTTTACAAGGCAATAAGGGAGAAAAGTGAATTGAATTTTAATGGCAGTAATGGCCATGGTGTTCTGAAGTGGGATGGGAGGGCAGGGATGTGAGCTGAGTTAGTCAGTGTGACAGCGGTGACCATGAAAATAATGTTAACATAGACTTGGAGGGGTACAGAAATGTGGCAGAAGGTATATTCCTGGCCAGAGACCCAGCTAGTAAGAGATCCCTTTGACAGGTGTGGCCTGGTATGTGTGGACTCGGAAGAGAAGTGTACCGAGGCATGATGGGTGGAGGCAAGATCAGAGAGCTTGTAAAGCTACAGATGATGTGAGTATACTGGGACTATGAAAGGCTTTGAGAAGTGAGGATGTCACCTGACAGCTGGAGGAACAGATTTTATTTTCCCCCAAGACAGGGGTTCTCTCTGTAAGTTTCGTTGTCCTGGAACTCACTGTGTAGACCAGGGTGGCCTTGAACCTGGAAATATGCCTGCATCTGCCTCCCAGGTGCTGGGATTAAAGGTTTGCCTCACCACTACCTGGCTTGGAGGGACAGAATTATATCCAGCATCATGGGCCAGGGTTTCCTGGGTTCAGTCTGGGGTGCTTACCTCAAGGCAAGCCAGCAATAGTGATGTTGAAAGTTGGGGAAAGATTTAATCAAATTGTGTATTCAGGGATTTCCATCAGCTATTGGATGAAGGCTCTAGGATGGCATATGGCATATGGCATATAAGGTAGGCATCAATCTCATTATCAGGGAAGGGCATTTAAAGTAGCCTCTCCACTATTGCTTAGATTGTTAGTTGGGATCATTCTTGTAGATCTCTGGACATTTCCCTAGTGGCAGATTTCTCTTTAAACCTATAATGGCTCCCTATATTATGACATCTCTTTTCTTGCTCTCCTCTATTCTTTCCCTGACTCAATGTTCCTGCTCCCTCATGTTCTCCTCTCCTCTCCTCTTCGCCCCTTCCCTTTGTCCTAGCTCCCTCTCCCCTGTCCCCATGCTCCCAATTTGCTCAGGAGAACTTGTCCCTTTCCCCTTCTCTAGGGGACCATGAATGTCTCTCTTAGGGTCCTTTTTGTTTCCTAGTTTTTCCAGACAGTGTTGGTTAATGTATGGTCTGGTTGTTCATTATTTAAGTTGAGCAAGTTGCTCAAAAACAAAACAAAATAAAGAAATCCTCATTGTTAATGGACAAACAGTTCCCATGTGATGACTGCCCTTGCTAGGTGGTGATCTCATTCTGGTATCAACAATGCTGTGCTGTTGTCTTTGGGGCTCTGTTGTTATTGGATTTTAAGTTGACTCCAAGATGGAGGCTTGAGACTTCCTGGTCCCTTTTAGGGGGTTTGGAATGGTGCACTGCAAAAGCTTGCTGTAAGATGCTACAGCAAATATTGTCTTTGTGTCTTCAGCTAAAGTGGGTTGAGATAGGTTTAGCTATCACCAGTTTTTAGAGAAATATTCTGAGTGCTAAATCTTCCTATATACAGAGAACCCCAATTTATGGAGGAGGATGGAAAATCAAGGCAGTTTTTTTTTTAAATATACAGATGGTGCTTGTGAAAGAATTAGAGCCTTGGTTGACAACCCTCAGGAGTTTTGTTAAAAGTGTGAGGAGCTAGTGATTGATAGATGCAGGGGAATTAGGGCAGAAAGTGGTCTATTTTATTTTGTTTTCTTTTCCTTTTAAAAGCCATGTGGCAATAAGAACAATGTAATAAGAAGGAAACACTGGTGATAAGTACACAGGAGGTTGGTCATTGTGACCTTGAATAATTGAGGGAGGAGAGACCTTGACAGGTGGAGGACCCAGCTACAGGCAGGAAGGTGACAATCCATCCCTGACCAGACAGTCTGTTTGACTTTCTTTAACTGAGAATCTCCAGTCTTCTTCATTGAATACCCCCTCTCTCTGTCCCTGTCCCTCTCTTCATGTCATATTAGCTATCAGTCCATGGAGTTAATGTTTTTGAGAGGGATGGGCTTGGAAGTGTGATTTGAGACTGCAGAGATGAACGGGGTGGGGCTGTGTGAAAGTCATACATATTCAATTATCACAAGGATAATTTAAGAATGAACATATGCAATACCTTGTTAATGGCTGTTTCATGATTGAAACTATAGTGTATTTCATAAACACACAGGATCTCAAGTGTTGATGCATGGCTTTGAAGGGTAGGACAGGGCGCTCATTTTCAGAAAACTGTAGTAACACTGTAAAATTCCTTATTGTGTATGTAGAGAGAATGTTTGTTAATACAGTTCTTCTCTGTTGCTTTAATCCTTCAATGCACAGCACTCCGGGATGGGGCCCAATAGAAGGAGTTTGTGGGAGTTTGCACTTTCTGTGTCTGGCTGGTTGGTGACTACTAGGGGTCCATAAATGTGGTCTTTGCAGTGTCTTGGGAAGAGTGGAAAAGGAAGAGGAGATACAGATGAGTTTAAAAT